TGTTGGATTTAATCTAAATGTGTTTCAAAAGAATAGTTGTCACAACTACAAAAATACTCTCTTATCAAATATATATAACTGAAAAATATCAACACATATAATATAAATCAAATCATTATTAGAATCTAAACTAACCTATTTTTTAAAATTTAATTAGATAAATTATTATCTAAAACTAAATAAATCAAATCATTATGGAAAATTTAATTTCAAAATAATAATAATAACAACATATTCAAAATATCATTAACAAAGTAAAAAAAAATTAATAATATTATAATTACACAAAATTTTTTTTAAAAGAATTATAAAAGGGTCCAAAATGGGCCAACTCTTCGCCCTACATGGCCAGCACATTTAAACTTTTGATAGGGCCGGCCTATTTAAGTCTTTGGCCCTATAGGACTGGCCCTTTGAAGCCCATTTCTCATTTGAAGAAAAAAATTTTAAGCTGAGTCTTACAATTTTCAAGCTTAAATGGACTGGCTTGACGGGCTCAACCTATTTTCTAGGCTCTTACAATTATCATTTCTTTTTTTAAAAGAATATAATCAATTTATAGGCTGTCTTGAATTTTTATAATAATTTTTCCGTTTCGTCCTATTAATTATTTATTTTGATGCTCAATTCTTTCGATTATATTTAAAAGTCATTTTTAATATATTTCACACAAACAAAAAAAAAAAACTTAAAATTTTATCAAATTTTATTCAAAATTCAATAAATTTTTAATTTTATCCCTATTTAATACATATTATATTTTATATAAATAAAATCAACACAATAATCAATAAAAGATAAAATAAAACATCCATGCAAAAATTTTCTTTTAGTACCTTATAAATAAGACTAAAAGACTTTTTTCTCTATACTCTATAAATAGGATCAGAGGAGTATTTATTACTCCTTCGATCCTAATTATAAGACCCAATTGACTTATTTGAGGAGATTAAGGAAGTAAGTTAAGTTGGTTATTTATAATAAATAAGTGTTGTCATTCCTAAAATATCCTTGCTAATTAAGTATATTGGCTAAAACTATCATTATTAGAAGGATTATCTTGGAAAAAAATGCATAAATATAAGAGACAAAATAGATTGGGGTCTTATAATTAGGACCAAATAAAAAGTCAAATGTGATCTTATAATAAGGACCGGAGGAGTATCTCATTTCTCAGACCATCATCTCTTCGTGACATATTCTCTCTTTTTTCATAATTTTTTTATTCTCTTTCTTTACTTTCTCTCTTTTGAATAAAGATATTAAAAAAAAACCTTTAATTTACTTCCACTATATTTCATATAGACGAAAAAATATTAAATTTCATTAACTCTCATTTAAAATTTAATAACTTTCTAATTTTATCTCTATTTAATATACATTATATCTCATATAAACAAAATTAACACATAAATAAATAAAAAGTAAAATTATACATTCATATATAATTTTTTTCTTAATATCTTATAAATAAGATAAAAAATATTTTTTTACTTTATAAATAACATCAGGGGACTATTATATATAACCAATTCTGTTCATCGTTGCCCACAAAAAAAGGCGAGGGGGAAATGAGTACTTGGCAGACGAAAGCGTTTTGAGCACGTTCGCCAGTGCCAACATTAATTTATGTCATATGAGTTTTAAATTCTCAGTGATTGATTCTAACGCTGCTATTTACTTACTCCCTCCTGTTTATAATATAAGTAGCTCACTTAATTTAAAATATAAGTAACATGAAATGTAAGTTTATTTGTTAATTTTGTCTTTATAATTAATATTTAAATATATATTTTTATATTGTTTTTCCTCTCCTACACAATCTCATTTAATATGAGTGAAGTTGAAAAAAATTTCAATTTGAAACAAATTTAATGAGTTCACTATCATTTTTTTGTTATTGATGAATTGGTTAAAATGACTTGTATTATAGATCAGAAGAAATTTTTTTTAGTAGCAAAAAACATGGACCTGGTTATGATGCTTTTCAAGTGATGAACAATATAAATCATCCAAATTAAATATAAATGATTCAAATTTAATATTTTTTATTAATTATTTTTAAAGAAAAATAAGTATTAAAAAAATTAGAAGTTAAATCAATCTAGATAAAATCTTAACCGTTTAAGGGGGTGTTTGGCTTTTTTGCCAAACACCCTCATTTTTTTTAAAACCAAGGTTTTAGGTTTTGCCCAACAAAACCTCGGTTCCAGATAAACAGGAGGGGCGTAGCTTTTGAGGAGGGACAAATATTGGCTTCAACGGTCAGCTCACGGAGGCAACAAGCACGGGGGGTACTCATTCAGCACACGGGGGTACTCATTCAGCTCAAAGGGTACAATTATTTGGCAAAATAAATCATTTTTCTAAAAATATATTTATTTTATTAATATATATACACACTAATTTCTTATTATTTATATTATTTATGCCATATTTATTATGTTGCCAAAATATATATTATTAATAAATTTATTACTTCAAATAAACATATATTATGAAATATATATTATATGTAATTATCATTTAAACTTATGTCCTTTTTAGTAATTTCTACATATCAAAAAGAACTTCTGACAATAATTATCCAAACACTCTCATTTTATTAGAATCACTTTTCCAGAAAATCTATTCTTTCAAAATCTATTCTCTCCAGAATTTATTCTCCAGAAGCTATTCTGCAAACCATGATTTTACCTCATCCAAACACCCCCTAAATATGATGTAATTAGAGCGCCCAAACTCATTTCCAAAAAACATATGGCAACTTTTTGAAGCCGTGGCCGTCTTTCGTTCATACGAAGGCCAATCACCCAGTTTTTATCAGCAAGCGCCAAGAGACTCTTTATAATTTATTTCTCTCATCCATACTACTCTTTCAATTCTTAATATAAAATCTATTTAATTAATTTGATTAGCTTAAAGAAGTTAAGTAAATTAGTTATTTTTAAGAAATGTGATACATTTTTTCTAAAATATCATAACCATCTTTTTTAATACCTCCTCTTTCTCTTTTACTTGATTATGGTTAAGAGAGTATATATAAGGGTAATTTAAAAAAATTGATAAATATAAGAAATGAGTTTTATATTTAGGAACAAAACTAACTTAATAATTGGGTCTGTAAAAGTAATAAGTTTGATTTTTTTGTGACCGTGCATCATATAAGTTTGATTTAACTACGATAAAAAATAATAATTAATCTATCTACGCTGTCAAACTTAATATTACATTAATTATAAAATTGTTGGCAAAAATTGTGCAAAAGATGCAAATAAGAAAAATTATTAAATACTTTGCATATTACTACTCTCAGTTCTTCATATAAAAGCTAATTAACTAATTTAAGTAGACTAAAAAAATTAATTAAGTTAATTATTCGTAATAAATAAATATTGTTTTCTCAAAAATACCTTTATTAGTTAAGTTTTATTTGATGAAATATTTAATATGTGTAACTATTAAAATGATTCTTTTAAAAAAACGGATAAATATAAAAGATAAAATAAATTAAAACTTTATAATTAAGACCAAATTTATAGTTACACTAGCTCTTATGTTAATAATTAGATATAATATCAAGCTGAATTTATATTTTAAAATAGTTGGCAAAAAATTTATATTTTAAAATACGTGAATTTTTTTTTGGCCTGAAGAATAAGTGAAGTTAAAAAAAGAATAAAAAAAACTATTGGAGGATGGGAAAGTAACTGCCCCGTTATTTAATTTCAATTTCCAGCTTCCAAGCACCTATAATAAAAAATATCCCTTCAGATCAAAAGTAAAAAATAAAACAAGGGAAAATCCCAAAAAAGGTCCTTGGAACATAGGAAATCCCAGATTGGGTCCTTAAATTTTGAAAATGACAGAATGGGTCATTGACCCAATCTGTCATTTGTGAAATTAAGGCGAATTGACATTTTTGCCCCTGAGTAAAAGTGAGTAGTTATTCTCTAAACAAATCTAGGTAACGCTTACACTGTTCTAGTGAATACAAGATTCGTTGTAGTTAATAATAAGGTACGTGACAATAATAAGATACCTGACTATGAAAAATGAGTAGTTATTCTCTACACAAATTTAGGTAATACTTACATTATTCTAGTGATTACAGAATTAGTTGTAGTTAATAACAAGACACCTGACTATGAAAAAGTGAGTAGTTATTCGCTACACGAATCTAGATAACACCTAAACTCTTATAGTGATTCCTTGAATCATTGTAGTGAATGAATAAATGAGGACAAAATTGTCAATTCGCCTTAATTTCGAAAATGACAGAATGGGTCAATGACCAATTCTGTCATTTTCGAAATTTAAGGACCCAATCTGGGATTTAGTATATTCCAAGGGCTTTTTCTGGGATTTTCCCATAAAACAATTATTACACTCAGATGGCACGACTCAAAAAATATTGGGAAAATTACACAAAGGTCTCACACAAAACAATGAATTGATGAAAAGTCTCTTAAAATCCCGAAATAATTCCTAATTCCCTGAGAATCTGTGTGTAATAAATTTTAATTGTGAAATTACTTATTTACCCATATTAATTTGAACCCAATGCAATTTATTTACAATCTCAACTGTTGAGGAGAAGTGGTTAACAACCTCGAAAATACCTCTGGTATCCCACAAAGTGAGTTGTTAAAGACACTGTCAAAGTTGTCAACCACTTCTTCTCGAGTTGTCAACCGTCACCGTTGAGATTGTAAATGAATTACTATAATAAAATTAGTGTGAATAAGTAAATAATTTTATAATTATAATTTATTACACACAGACTTGTTGTCTTATGTGAGATTCGAGTGTAATTTTTCTAAAAATACTTCTCTGCTCAAGCATTTATTGATGAGATCATAAAGAGTCTACGCCTGTGGTAACTGGGATCGTTGGAGGGGGGTGGGCATTGTGATCTTCAACTAATTCCGTTCTCCTCAACCTTCGTGCCTTTCCCGTCAAAACCTTCATCGGAAAACCTAAGAGAAGTCGAAAACACAATGAGCGACAAGATTAGCAACCTGCCGGACTTGTTGCTTCTCCATATTTTGTCTTCTAAATCTCTTCAAACCAACGATGTCGTTGCGACATCCCTCTTGTCAAAGAGATGGAGATCTCTTTGGTACTCCATTCCCAAGCTTGAGTTTCACGATGCACTCTCATGTAGTTATGAATCCTTTCTTCAATTTATAGACGCTACCCTCATCTTAGTAGATCTGAAATCTGTCAAAATGTTCTCTCTCCTGTGTGACTCTCATGATCTGCCCCCTCATAAGGTTGACATTTGGGTTAACGCTGTGGTCAAGAGCAAACTTGAGTATCTGAATTTATGGTTTAACAGTGAATTTGGTTCTGTAGTTAAGCCGTTGCCCTCTACCATTTTCAAATGCAGTACCATTAGGATCTTAAAGTTGCTTAGGGTGAAGTTGAGTAAACTTTCTACTGTTAATCTGCCATCTCTTAAGGCCTTGCATATGTTGTCCGTTGGGTTCTCGGACGCCGAAAGTTTAGAAATGCTTCTTTCTGAATGTGTTCGTCTTCAAGAATTACTGCTACTGGATGTGGATTTACCTGATTATGAGGATACGAACCTGGACATTGGAAGGCTTCATCACTTGGTTATTGCAGAGGTTCCAGAAGGTCTATTCCAAATAGAAGTGTTCTCCAATGTTACATTTCTAAGCTTAAAGGAGGTAATCAGTGACTTATCATGAGTAGTTTTTTTCATTCATTGTCTAATATCATATTATATATCCATTTTTTTAAATTAATTTGGCCCGGTCTTTGCTCACGCAGCATGATTTTTCTCCTGATGATCATGATATTCCAACATTTTGCAATTTGACCCATCTGGAAGTTGATTTATTTACTCTGAATGGGTGGGTCAATATGGTCAGCTGTCTCCCAAGTTTCCCCAAGCTTGAAACTTTCATAATTCGTGAGGTTTGAAAAATCAAATAGAATCTGTTTTTTACTTTCCCCTATTTGGTCTTCTAACTTGCAAAACACTTGTGTGGCCAGCAAGATTTTATGGGGGTGAATTGGTCAATGGAACCAAGTCCTGATGAAGTTCCTCCATGCGTGTCATCTCACCTGAAGACTTTCGCTCTTAAGGGCTTTGAATTCTTGAAAAGTGAGTTTCAAATTGTAGGATTTATATTGAAGCATGCAATAGTATTGAGGTCTGTGATCATTACGACTGAAGATTATGATTATCCAAGCCCAGAGGCTGGGAGACAGGAATTGTTGGGGATATTATCGTCATACCCCAAACGTTCCCGGAGTTGTAAGCTTTTTGTAGATGTTCCTGCCAAAACCATATATCAGAAGGTGTATAATAAATTAGTTGAAGAAAAGGATTTCAGTTACTACTTCGAATTTTAGCTGGGATCTGATTAGATGCTGTTTTCACTGTTACATGTATAAAAGGCTTATTTAGCTGCTTATCTTGGGCTGAAGGAGCTTTTTGAAAATGTAATTAAGCAGGCGTTGGGAGCAATGCTTAGTTGAAATCTGAAAGGAAGAAAATGTATTCTCTGGGAAGATGTTCCTGCATGTTAAAAGTTTCAGATGATTCTATGAGGGACCAGCTGTGACTCTTCTTCGAATTTATTGTTTTTGGTTCCTTTATTTCCAGGCTTAATTCATGATGGTCTTTTTGGCCTGAATAATTCATTCTTAGATAAGCAAGCATTGTCCAAAATTTAGCAGAACAGCCAAAGTACAGAACACATCAAAATAAATAGAGAAACTAGCAGGACTTATGAGTCCCAACAAAAAAGCAGGCTAGTCCCAGCAAATTAACCAATGCCCTCTCTATCGTGCCTTCCATCCTGGGCGAACAGGTTGCATGTAGAAACCAAAGAGCCAGCCGCATCACGAGAGTCAATCGGATAAAGATGGTGGTGTTTCCACCCACTCCAGAGAGTGCATCTTCCTGCGCAGGCAAACTGCCAAATGATGCGTATGGAAGAGGAGTTTTGTTTAAGACTTGCATAAAATATACTTATAAATACATAATAAATAAATCCAAACAGGTACTAAATCAACAAGACGAAAGTAACTTGGAGATTGAAGGTTTCATGTGTCACGGCAAAACTTTCAACTCAATTGCCCTGGCAATAGGTACCTAATAGACTGAATATTAGGTGTGTCATATCCTAGCGTTCCATCCTGATTCTATTTTCAAGACAGGATGCATATATGTGTGTGTCCCATCCCAGTCCCACCACTATATAAATTTTTTCATGTCAAATTTAATAATTTATAAATTGATTTGGTTTTAATTATATAGTTTGCAAATTCTGTTTAGATTATATGATATTATTGTTCAGAGAATTGCAATAAAATCCCATCATGACAAATTTGCAAATTTTAGAGTAGGTAATAATAATTTCTAACCTATCATTTAGACTCAGTTATGTTCTTTTTTCAAGACCTCGTTACAATTCCTTCCTGTTTTTGTGTAGAGATTGAGTTTATTTCTTTTTTGCTTCAATATTGCAAAAAATATGTTCTTTTGCTAATTTTCAATTACTACCAATTTTTAACCAATAATTATCCTTTCTTTCCTTATATATCTTATATTCAGAATTGGAGGTAATACTTAGGAAAATTTTCTTATATTTATAATGTCAAGTTTCCAATCACACATAGTCATATGTTTTATATTTTTTTCATGTGTGTTTATAATTAAATGATAATATTTTAAAAATAAAAAACATATTTATTTGTGATTGGAGAATTTAACATAAAAACAAAAGGAGCTTCATGTAATATTGTCCATAATCTCAACAGATGTCCTGTTTTTATTATAAAATACTTGATAGAATATTAATTAAAATTTTTTTAATATCATTTTTATTTCAATTTTTATTTAAATATGAGTCAATGAAAACTTATTTAATTCTTAAATAAAGTTAATAATTTAGCCTATCTTTTTTTAAAAAAAAAACTTCGATGAGTGTGGATGGAAAAGAGTACACTCTTACTAATGACCACAAGTATGAAAAAATTACAAAACAATGAGGCATTTTGGCCAACCAATGATGCAGTATGCACCATCAGGAATGATATTTTTGTCTGATCTTATTTTTATGATAAAAGACCTGTTTAAGTCAGCATTTCAAACTAGTATTCTTTGTTATTAAAATTTACTCCCTCCATAAACATTAATTTCCAGGTTAAATTATACAAAAACCCCCTGAACTATGGACTAGTTCCCTTATATTTGAAAGTTTAAATTCAACCCATCTGATCTTTCATTTTTTTATTACGAACAACTTGCCGTTTACTCAACGTTACTTTTTTTTAATGAAATTTGTCAAATCAGATCAACACAAGACACCTCGCATCTTACGTGGCATCTTACATGACATCCCATCTAATATAATCATTTCATCATAATTATATTATTTTTATATAAGGATTAAAATGTCATTTTATATTTAAAAAATCCCTCTTAGTAATTAAACCTCTTCGATGAAACGCAACTTTTACCTTTCAATTCTTATGAAAGTCTCACACCGCCAAAATGAAACTTTCAGCCTTGTTCAATATTTCATGGTCAAAGCTGGAAAGCTAGGAGTGGACATCTAGCCGGCAATTAGCAAAAAGAAAAGGTGAACATCGATCATATTTGTTAGGCTATGATTTTTTTTTTCTTTTGGCTTTTATAATTCTATGGACATAGAGATAATATCCCAAATTTTCTAGATCCTCACAGTAGCAGAAACTGAACACCCAAATTGATTTGAACAAGTGTGAATTTTTTGATAGTGATATTGGGCAGCTAGATTTATTTTTTTAAAAATGTTGATGACGGGACAATAGTAGAAGTTAATCAATGGTTGCATCATAACCCACTTGAAGGATCCAAGAGTAGAGGTGCAAGGAATGAAGAGGCACAAAGTGAATCTTATTGGGATGGACAGGTGCAATTTGATTATGATGATAGTGAAAAGTTGGAAAGTCCAACTAGATTAGATAATGAAGGTTAGCAAATAGAAAGAGAATCATCTAATGAGTTTAATGAAAAGACAGATTTTAAAAGACCCATCAATCTTCAAGTTGGTAACTTCAAAGTTTATAGGTAAGCATTAAAGCAATATGCCATTTGAGAATGGCATTGAGTTCAAGTATATAAAAAATGAAGCATCATGAATCAGGGTGAAGTGTAAGTGCAATTATGGATAGGTTATACATGCATCAAGGACTCATGTTGATGGGAAAGAGAAAACAAATGGGTGACTGCAGGTTGGTTGTCAAATAGATACATTGAACATATTAGAGACTAACCAGACTAGAGTGTAACAACATTCGCAAATCAAGGGTGAAGGGATTATAATGTTGAAATTTCAAAATTTTCCGCATATCGAGCAAAATGAATGGCATTAAAAGTGTTAGAAGGTCGTGATGCGGAGCAACTTGCCAAAGTGTATGCATACTGTGGAGCAATAATGAAATTTAACCCTGAAAGTATAGTGATGGTTAAGGCAAAAGGGTCACGATTTAAGCGACTATATATGTGTCTTGGTGTATGTAAACAAGGGTTTGTAACTGCATGTAGACCAATTATATGCATAGATGGTTGTTTCTTGAAAGGTAGCTTTGAAGGCCGCCTTCTATTTGCAGTTGGAAAAGATGCAAATGAGAATATGTATCCTATAGCATATGCCATTGTAGAATTTGAGTGCAAGGGTAGTTGGAATTGGTTCTTGAATTTGCCATTTGAGGACATTAGCTCATGTAAAGATAAAAGATGGATTGTGAGGTCAAATATGCAAAAGGTATTATGCTTATAATATATTTATTGTATTTTTATTTTTACTAGTAATAATTCATTATTCAATTTTTATAAATATATTTAATTAAATTGCAAGGGTTGCAAGAAGTGCTCAAGGCAATGAAATGTGAACATAGGTTCTGTGTTAGGCATTTGGGTGCTAATTTCAAGCTCAGATATAAAGGAAAGAATTTGAAAGATGACCTTTAGAATGCATACAGGGCAACAATTAGACAAGAATTCAACCATCATATGAAATGACTAAAAAAGCTTAAACCTAATGCTGCTAACAGGTTAGATAAGTATGACTCTAAGCTTTGGAGTAAGCATGCATTCTCAACAAATGCCAAGTGTGACATTGTGCAAAATAATATTGTAGATACATTCAACTCTTTTATATTGGTTGTAAGGGACAAGCCAATCATCACAATGTGTGAAATAATTGAAAGGATGCTAGTGAAGCTGGTTGCAAAGAGAGAAGGCATGGGGAGATCTCAAAATGCAATATGTCCTAGAATTATTAGTAAGCTTGAAAGAGCAAAGGATGACTCTAAGAATTATATATGTTATATGACAGGTGATGGGCGATTTAAATTGTAAAGTCCATTGAAGAGGGAGGTGGTAGACCTTAAGATGATGACTTGTACATGTAAAGCTTGTGAGTTGACTGGGATTCCTTGTGGGCATGTTGCTGTTGCAATTTATCAAATAAGAGGAGTACTTGAAGATTATGTTTCTATATATTATAGCAAAGATTTATTCATGAGAGCTTGTGCTTTAGCAATAGGTGCAGTTCCTAGTGAAAAATATTAGCCAGAGTCTACAATGATTCCCTTGAAACCACCAAAGTATAATAGGCCACCTGGTAGATCCAAAAAAAAGAAAAAAAAGAGCAATAAGACCCATAAAAAAATAAGTAAAAAAAGAGCTACCACAAAGTGTGGCAATTGTGAAAAAATAGGTCACAATGCACAGGGTTGTAAGGCTCCTCCTAATCCCAACAAAATAGTGTATAAGAAGAAGAAAAAGAAAAACACTACATCAAATCAATCAGAATGGACACTTATAATTTTCTTTAATTAGAAAATTTGATTTACTTTACAGTCACATGCTTATATTAAATAGAATAATGACTATTCTTTCATTATTTATTGTAGGACAGCTGGCCTCCTAATACTCAAAGACTCTAGTCCATTCTTACCATAAAGAAGAATGAAGTCCCCACTAATTAAGCACCAATGAATGTTTCCTATTAAAAAAAATATTGTAAAACTATTTTTATTAATTTTTCTTGAAATAACTCAGCATTGATGATATACAAATATTATTATCAATGCAAACATTTAAATAGTAATTTTGTATTAGAGGATTACTTTTACCAATATTTATAATTTATTAGCATTTTTTGTTTTTTTTTCCTTCAATTAGATATTGAATTTTTATTTTTATATTTTTTGTCAACATAAAGTTTTAAATAACATTTTTATTTTATTTTTACCACATAATTTTTAATTAATAAAATATTTTCAAAATCTTAATAAATTTATTAAGATAGTAAAATAAGATTACAACATTGTAAAAATGGTGCAATGAAAGTAAT